GGGGGTGCAAGGGGTTGGTGCAGGGGGTCCGTGGGGTCCATACAGAGGGGTGCGTGGCGCTGTGGGGTGGGCCTGTCCAGGGCTGTGCATGGGGTTGGTGCAGGGGGTCCATGCAGAGGGGTGCGTGGCGCTGTGGGGTGGGGCTATAGGTGCAGACACTCGCTCCCAGCAGAGCAGCCCAGCGTGGCTGTTGGTGGGAAAGGGGAGTCTCCCATGCTGGGGGGAACGGGGCCGAGCCAATCAGTAAGGTGAGCTAGAGGGACTCGCCCCCCAGAGCGCTGAGCTCCACGAGCCCCTGTGGCCTCTCCAGGCACCCGGCTGGGGCTGCAGGACTGACGCCAGCCAAGCTCCCCGCGCAGTCCCACTCCCCAGTGGCCAGGCTGCTCCCAGCTCAGTGCCCCCCACACCTGCATTCGCAGACTCTGGGGACACTGGAGCAGGCAGGGTGGGCACACACACCCCCTAGCATGCTGCTGGCCTGGCCGCTGACGTGCTGTGTGTGCCCTGGGGCGGGCGGCAGTTCCCGCCTGGCCGCTGACGTGCTCTGGCCCCCGGGGGCAGGCGGCAGGGGCAAGGGCAGGGACAGACTCTGGGGGGGGGCAGCAGAGAGATGCCAGGTCGCTCTGGTGACACTTACTTTGCCCTTGGTGCATTGGGGCAGCCGCCCCGCGTTCTGCAGCTCCTGCTCCTTGCCTGCGGCTCTCAGCTGCTGCCTGGCGAAGTCACTCCTGGCCTCCTTGCAGATCTCGGAGTAGGTCTTGGCAAAGAGGTTCTGGGCCCTGGGAATGAATCCTGGGAGCGGGGCGGCCCCAGTGCCCAGAGGAGCAAGCGAGATGAGAGGCAGGTTAGTAGCCCCCAGAGCCTCCTGCGTGGGGAGGGCAGGGCTGGGGGAGTGGGAGGGGGAATATGGGGGAGGCCTGAGGGCCGAGGCAGGGGCCAAGGGGGTGATGCCCGCTGGAGGGGTGTTCCCAAACTCAGCCCAGGTGTGTCATGCTGGGCACTGAGAACAACCCGAGGGAAAGGCACAAAGACAGAGCTGGAATTTACCAAGTGGGCGCTCCGGAGGGGGGATCCCCGGGGTACCAGAGATTTTCAGGGTGTCGGTGGCTACAAAGCAATTCTCTTAATGCAATCCAGGCCTTAGGCGGGGAAATGGCAGGTCCCCCCTTTCTTTTCACAATAACCGGGGAAAAGGCCCGGGGTGCCTGGCTAACGCTGCCCATGGGGCACTGCCAGGGGGTGGCTCTGAAGTGGTGGCATTGGTCTGGCACAGGGCATTTTCTTTGCCCCATTAGTGGCACCACCATGGCAGCGTTGCATGTGGGGGCGTCCTGCAGCGGACTGGCCCCTCTTTGCTGAACGGCGCCTCCTGCTGGCAGAGCCCAGCCTGGGGCACAGGGAGAGACGCACCAGAGGGGGCTGCGTGCGACTCCCCCATGCCAACGGCGTGCCCCTGGCCAAGGGCACTCAGACCCACTCAGGCTGGGCTGATCCTGCACGATCCTCCCGTGGCCCTGGCCGGGCAGGGTGCAGCGGTGCCAGGTGTGAGCAGTGGCTCTTGGACAGAGCCCGCTGGGTCATGCTCCACATTTGCTCCCCAAGAGGAGGCCTGGTTGCAATTGAGGGGGGATCCCTGGTGCCCAGCATGGTCTCCTGGGGGGCTGGGTGTGGCAGGGTGTGGCATGGATGGATTCCCTGGGAGAGGCGGGAGGATTGGCCAGCAGAGCTCCCTGCCCCCCACCCCCCGTACAGATGGCCTTGGAGCCCAGCGCGTGTGGGGACCGGCTGCCACGTCTCCCACCTGTGTAGCCCGGGATCACGCAGCATCCCAGTGGGTGGGCTCCTGCCCCCCAGCAGGCCGGCCTCGTCCCCAGCAGCGCCTCTCCCTGCCCCACGGGCGGGGCACCGGCGCAGGGCCAACGGGCGGGCTGCAGCACCAGCTGGCTGGAGCCAGCGACCTCAGGGCTGCTCGGGAGCTGTCCGTAGGGTGTCCCCAGGCTGAACTTGTGCCGAGGGCAGTAACCGGCGTAGCTGCAAACAGGGCAGGGGCAGCAGGGCTCAGGCAGGGCCAGGCCCAGAGCGAACCTCCGACCCCAACATCCCAGAGCCGCTGAACAAATCCCCAGGGCAGCCGAGCCCAGCGTCCCGCTGCCGAGAGCGCCTCGCCCTGGGGCTGCTGCCCTGGCACTAGGGGGAGCCCGGGGAGCAGTGCCAAGCACCCCCCTCCCTCAGATGGCTCCCGTCACCCCACGGTGGGCGTGGGGGCACCTACAGCTGTGCAGGAGGCAGTCGTGACAGGTCAGGGCCGAGCGCCCACGGGTGGGACCCCCGTGAGACAGAGCAAAGGGGAGCTGGACCTAGGTGCTGGACACAGCGGTCACGGGGGGTTCTCCCCTGCCTTCCCCATGAGGCTGGGCTCCCCCTCCTGCTCCCTTCCCACCCACTCTGCTCCCCTGCCCTCCCCCACTCTGCTCTCCTACCCCTCCCCCCCTTCTACCCCTTCCCTCTTCTCCCCCACTCTGCTCCCCTTACCCTCCCCCTTCACTCCCCCTGCCCTCCCCCTTCTACCCCTTCCCTCCCCCTCCTCCACGCTGCTCCCCCTGCCCTCCCCCTTCTACCCCTTCCCTTCCCCTCCCCTCCCCCTTCTACCCCTTCCCTCTTCTCCCCCACTCTGCTCCCCCTGCCCTCCCCCTTCTACCCCTTCCCTCCCCCTCCCCTCCCCTCCCCCACGCTGCTTCCCCCTGCCCTCCCCCTTCTACCCCTTCCCTCCCCTCCCCTCCCCTCCCCCACGCTGCTTCCCCCTGCCCTCCCCCTTCTACCCC